TCAGTCCCAGCTGAAACAGGGAGTGAGATTTGGGAGAAATGAGAAGAACTGGAACAGCCACACCATCGCCATCTCCAGTTGAGCTGTGTGTCCACCACCACCATGAGACTCCAGGAACCAAATGCAGAGGTGAACAGAAGGATGGAAGAAGTAAAACAGGAGGGATGCAGGAAGTGCAAGAGATGGCCTAAGGGCTGCCATCCACTCAGCAGTTGGACCACGAGACTAAAATGCAAAACAATATCTTCCTATCGATAGTAATGTGGTCCCTGAGTTACAGTAGCCAGCCTCCAGCTATTTACTAGTCACTATTGAGGGTGAGGCCTACCAGGAGCCATGAAAGATCCTGAAAAGGTAAAATGAGGAAACCCTGGAATCTTGCTACCTAATAATCAGGGTCCAGATTATGAACTGGCCTAGGTCACATTCACATTACTCATGAGGCACTGGTGTCCTCATTATATGAACTGCCACTAAATTAAGGTAAGTGTGCTAAGTCTCGGGGATTGCAGAAATTCTGAGCAGCTATAGTTGCCCCAGAAGAGGGAAAGTGAAGGCATATATAAATTCCACTTTAGATTTTTTAAATGCTTTCTATCAATTGGTATAGATAAACAGATATTTAGGCCATTTTTTTTTTTAAAGCTTGTGGACAAATTGTGTCATTTGCCTATTTCTCTCCAGCCCTGTTGTAAGACAATAAGAGCACCAGAATTTCAAGATGAAAGGGCCCTTGGGAATAATGTGCTTGAATTCTCTGTTCTACATCTTTCCAAGTAAGTGGGAACTTGGCCTTCTGGGAGATTTCCAGCAGCGTGAAACTGATGGTGTGATGAGAGGATCCATTCTACACTCTGAAGCTTTCATGGAAAATTCTTCCCCTTATAGACAGCCAAAGCGTGCCATACTATAGCCTCCTGCAGCAATGCGAGGTTACATCCCCAAGACATATTCAGCTAAACTTACATTTCGTTTAGCAGCTCAGCTGCCCCGGAAGCTGCAGTTCTCTCATTTCCGGGCAACTCTCAGGAAGCCCTTGGAGACTAAGGCTAATTCCCATCCCAACATAGCCTGCCTCCGGGGCTTCACCATGAAAGAGACAGCATCTTCCACCACAGCATTTAGAAACTGTGTGCGTCAGCACCTCCAAAGGGCACAGAAATAGACAGTGCTCACCACCACTGCTCTCCCTGGACCTCTGATGCCCGCTCATTAAGAAGGAACAAAGAAGAAATCTGATCCATCACAATCAACGGAAGAAAAAACAATTCTATGCACAGATACAATAAATGCTTTTCTGTGGTAATAGCACAAATCTATTTGGAATCTCAGGGATTTCAGCTCAGTTCAGTCACTCTGTCATGTCCAATTCTTTGAGACCCCATGGACTGCAGCACGCCAGGCTTCCCTGTCCATCACCAACTCCCGGAGCTTGCTCAAACTCATGTCCATTGAGTTGGTGATGCCATCCAACCATCTTATCCTCTGTTGTCTCCTTCTCCTCCTGCCTTCAATCTTTCCCAGCATTAGGGTTTTTCCCAATGAGTCAGTTCTTCACATCAGGTGGCCAAAGTATTGGAGCTTCAGCTTTATCATTAGTCCCTCCAGTGAATATTCAGGACTGATTTCCTTTAGGATGGGCTGGTTGGATCTCCTTGCAGTTCAAGGGACTCTCAAGAGTCTTCTCTAACACCACAGTTCAAGAGCATCAATTCTTTGGCACTCAGCTTTCTTTATGGTCCAACTCTCACATCCATACATGACTACTGGGAAGATCACAGCTTTGACTAGACAGACTCTGTGATTTACATTAGACCATAATCTGGGGGCACATTATTAGGGACAGCCAACTCCAAGCAATCAACCAGAAATCTCTACTTAAGAGATGACTCAGTGTGTTCACGACCAAACTCAATTCTGACTAATTTTCCTCCAACTCTGCTCTCTTAGGTTCTGCTCAATTAATGCTAAAAATCTCCGTGTAGATTCATTCAAAACTATCTATTGAATGCCTATTGTGGGCACCTTTCCTTCATTACCTTCTGTGGCCAAGACTGCTATTTCCCAAACTCATTTCCTTTGTTTTCTGGATGCAAGGAAGCTGTATTTTCCAGTCATCCTTATCATTAGGCATAGTAGAACTCCAAATTCTAGGCACGGAATGGGAGCGAGAGCAATGCCTGCCATCTCAGGTCTGGCATCGCACCATCTCCTGGGATCTTTTCATTTTCCATCACCTGGAATGATACCCAGGGCAACTCTAAAGGCCATGTGTTGAAGAACCCTCTGGATTACTAAATGACTGTGTAGAGTGGGTCCTCTCCACACTCTTGGTCTGTGAGTGAAAAATACAATTCCATTTTATCTAAACCAATTGTCTGGTGGTTGATTTGTGAGCAGTACCATAACCAATACATCTTCTATTTCCAGTTCACTCATTCATTCTTTAATAAACATTTTGCAAACACTTACTACAGTCCATGAATTGAGAAAGGCACTGGGGAAATAAAAATCACTAAAGGAGGTCACAAAGTCCACATAAACGGATAATTAAAACCCCATATAAATGAGCCCATGGCAATGTGTATGTCTTAAGTTAGTCACAGTGGAAAGATTTGAAACTTCATTCTGAATCCAAGGCTAGTTAAGCCACTTAAATATCTAAATGTGTTAGCATCTTCATCTGCAAACAGAAGCAATATTCCTTCCTGCCTAGTGTCAGGTGGGTTAAATTGAAAGAGATAGAAAGCATTCTGTCAAGTATCAAGTGCTCTGCAAATTTTAATTTAATTCACTGCAATTGTCCTAATCCAGGACCTATTATCATACCAGCACCCTCACTGGAGCTTCTAACCAAAGTCCTATCTATTCTTAAAGAATAGATTGGTAAACAGATTGGAGATTGGTAAAGGTAAATTTTCTCATTTTTTTTATTCAGAAAAAAATCTTCTAATACCCTGAAATAATTGCAAAATGAAAGTCAAATGTTTCAGCTGAGTATTTAAGACCTTACATAGCATAGCTCCAAATTAATGTTTAAGTCCATATCAATCTCTGTACAAGTCCATGCTTTTTTTTCTACTTCATCCACCCTATCTTCCAATCATAAACCCATTTCTACAATGTGCCACACTCTTACCTCCTTACTGTTTTATTCTTTGTTTAGTTTTGACCTTCACTGCTAATTCTCCTCATTGAAACCTTCCAGTTTTTCATGGTCCAGCTCAAATATCAACAGTTCCAAAGACATCGCTACATCTCTTTCCAAAAACAGTTTTCAGAACCTCATCTTCCTCTGTACTACCACGGTGTTTTATTCGGAGTTTCTCTTCCCCACTATTGATAGCAACTTTATTCCAAGTAGCCTATTGTTTTTAGGAAGGAAAAGGACATGGGGGTATTTAATAAAGGCATGTTACATTGAGGGAAAAAGTTCAGAAGACAGATCAGTTACTTGTGGTTAGATCATCAAAATAGACAAATTACAAGAGCAATGGAATTCTTTGGATTGTGAGAAAATCATTCCTATACTTTAGGACCTACTATATTCAGGGGATACCTTATAAAAGTTATTACATGAAACTTTCATATTGAAAGTCACTTTGACAATAATAAATATAATCCCATCATCAGAAGAGTAGAGCCAAAGTTCAAAGTCTTTCACTCATTTCTGCAGTCAATTCTTCAAATTTTGGTTCAGTCTTATTTTAGAAAAATGAGAGAAACACATTAAATTGTCCCACTGATGGGTCTTCCCTGGAGGCTCAGAAGGTAAAGAATCTGCCCGCAATCCAGGAGACCTGGGTTTGATTCCTGGGTCAGGAAGATCCCTTGGAGAAGGGAATGGCTACCCTCTCCAGTATTCTTGCCTGGAGAATCCCATGGAGGAGCCTGGCAGGTTACAGTTCATGGGGTCACAAAGAGTAGTATTTTTAAGGAAATGGCCATGCATGGCAAATTTTTCATTCATTTGCCTATAAGAAATAAAAAGTACTCATTAATAGAAAATAATTTAAGTCACTCTTTGCATCAACTGAGAATGTGCTTCTACCTTCTACTTTAGGAATAAAAAAATGGGTGTGGGGGTTAGGGGGGGTGACTTCTCTGGTGATCCAGTGGTTAAGACTTCATGATCCCAATACAGCAGGCACAGGTTCAATACCCAGTCAGAGAACTAAGATCCCACATGCAGCATGGAAAGAAAATTATTTAAAAAAAAAATGGATAAGGGGAAGTTGGGTTGTGATTAGATCCAGCGAGACAAATTCTATTCACAGACACTGAATTCTCAGAAATCCTAATAGATTGTATGTACTATACATACAATACTAACAACATTTTCTATTATGTACTCTCATGATAAGATGGGCTAAAATGCAAGTAGAGTTCCTTGAAGATGTTTCTCTCTAGAGAAGAGAAGAATGAATTTATATCAGCCTATGAGTGAGAGGGTGGGGTATATAAGTGGGGATTCTAAAAATTCAAAAATACTAATGGTTTTAGACCAGTCAAGTACTTTGTCCTGGAAGTAACATGACATAATTTATAGCATACATAAAATAATTTCTAATGTGAATTAGAAAGTATTTCCTAGAAACTGTAATAAATAGCATTATTATAAAAGATGAATCAAAATTCATGACTTTCAGTGCAGACCATTTTTCTAAGGAAAGCCACATGTAACATACACACAGGAGTCAAACAAACTACTAATCGCTGGACACTAAGGGAAACATGAGTAAGATATGCTCAGTGGAATAAGCAGAGTACATTTTCTCAGTGCTCCTGTAAAGTCATCAGGCAAACAACTCAACCAGTTTCCTCATTTCATATGTTAACATGAAGACAATAGTTAAGGGGGAAAAAAAACCCAAAACTTTATTTTTATGCAATAAAATTATTGCATATTGTGGCCCACAGTGTTCAGATACTCATGGTGGGATATGGGGGATGGGAAGGCAAGACAAGGCAGCCCCGGGCAGGCAGCGGAGCGCGCTTACCTCCAGAAGTGAAAAGCGAAGAGAGGGCTACAGGGACTGCCTGGGCTGGATGGGGTTGGACTCAGGCTCCTTGGAGTGAGACTGAAAGTTAAAATAATGTCATTCCAAGTGGGAGAAATGGTGGCAGAAAAAATAGCATAGCTCAGTGAAGGGACTTTGTTCCCTTTAGGCCAGAATCATCACGGCATGCCTATCAGTACCACTAGGTAATCATCTAATCACGTGCCCCTTCTCAGCTCTAAATCAGAGAACAAGCACAATGCTGCCTGCTGCAATTTACATTCTCAAAACTACTGCTGCCATTTTTATTTGTGCCTTTTGTCACAGAGCAACTTGGCAGATATGTTCGACATGTGATTTTTTTGCAAAGAAAAGTCGGTGATTTTTTTATATTGTGTGTATTCTACTTCCAAGTCAGAATTAATGGTAAATCTGTATCAAAACCATCTAGAAGTAGTCATCAGAATAGAAACGAAAATTCAGGTTAAATATTGTCATTTTTAAAAAAACAAAGTAACAAATATTTCCATATAGGAAGTTATATTTTTAAGCACTTTTTAGTGAAAAATACTCAGCAATATGTTGTCTAAGTCTCATGGTAAAAAGTGTTCTTATGCTTATGTTCATAATAAGGAACTTCAAATTTTCTCATATATGGTTATAAAGTATTTTATTCTCCAAGAGGTTTTTTTTTTTTTTCCTTCAAATTCATCTATCAATGGACCACTGTAACTCCTACTCCCATCAACCCATCCAAGCCCCCAGGCACATTCAGCAGCCAATTCTCAAATATTTAGCATGGGGTCCCAAGCTCAGAGTCCCTTTTCCTTTTTTTTTCTTTTAGCCTCATGGCTCTGCTCTTTTAGAGAGGAAAAGGAACAAATTAGTCATTTCATTTACTTGCAACAATTCTGCCAAGAGATCTATCAAGATATGAAGTAAATACCAGTCGATTTCCAATTACTTTCACATGGCAAAATCAAAATAAGAATTAGCTAAATATTCTAGTACCAACTCTTAAGCTGAAGTGAGCCCTGAAGACTTCTGCTACATTACAACAAGTTTCTTCAAGAACATTCTTCTGCCCGTTCTTTGGTCCATGACTCTACACTGTACATGTTCTTACCTTAGGCAAAGAGTTCTTGGAGCTGAGCTGCATACTGGCTAATTCAAGCTGGCTGTACCCTTCACTGAACAGAGAAGGGGCAGCCGTGGCTAGCATCAGATTCAGGTGTACCAAATTCTTAACGCCATCCTTGTTCCCCATGATGTGGATAATTGAGACTTGGCTGTATTTGATTCAAACCAAAATGTGAAGAGCATTGCTCACAATGCTCCAATTTGTTTAATGAAATGTTTCAAAGGAATAATTTTTTATTATCTTCTAAAACCACCCTTGGGCTTGGTGTCAGTACTCCGTAAACTAAGGAATCGATTTCCTTATACATTCAGAGGACATTCAGAATCTGCTGCTTCAACATACTGTACTCTAACTTAGCAGCTCATTGGAAAGCCCTCATGAGTGCCCACTGATAGAGCCATCATCTAGTCTAAGTACAGTCTTATCTTTTCCTTCTGGTCCTAAAATAGGCATGAAAAGACAGTGAAGCCACTCAGTGCCTCCAAGCCGAGACATGTTATCATATGTGCTATAAAGTGTCTATGAACCTAATTCTACAGTAAAATTGAAAAAAAAAAAAAGAGGAATGAAAAAAACTACTCAATTTCTCAGAAATCAGAAAGCCATGCATAGGCTCTCTATATATGAAAAATTTCTGAATAAATTAATAACTATTAATTTCTGAAATATTACTATATTTGCTGTCTCACATCCAGGATTTCAATTTCTGAAACAGGAATCAGAAACGCCTCATGTTATTGATAAATCGGATGGGAAATTTTTGAATTGCCCCTACAGTGTGTAAAATATGCGAGTGTAGGACTGCATGCTGCAGTGTCTATGGAATAAACTTTCCTGAAGAAAAACAGAAATGTCTCATGAGAGAACATTCAAAAGCTGCTCTGCACAGTGTGTCTTATAAGGTCCCTGAATAAATAAAATTATATACATTAAATGTGCCCTTAATAAAATCAATGATAAGACTTCTCATTATAACCATTCTCTGCAGTGTCAGGAAACTGAATTTACTCAAAGACTGCAGAACTAGCTTTCTCCATGAATGAATATGAAATCAGCTCTGTCTACCTAAGAGTAGTTTTACATTTCAAGGTAAACAAAATGTTCAAAGTGAATTTCTATTGTTATTGTCAACGACATTGAAGAGTGATCCTCTATTCTACTGCCTCAAGCTCTTCAGGTAAAAAATAAGCGATTTCAGATCCACAGTGCCATGTGCCAGGTAGAGGCTAGACTGAGGGGTTATGGCCCTGGGACCAGAACAAAACGCAGGGAACCCCTGTGCTGAGCTGATCTGCAGGTCACCATCATCACTGGCAATGTCCTAAAACTGGTGGCGGCACAGCTCAGCCTTTCAAATTATAGATGGAACAGTAGATACAACTAGTTTGTACTTTAGAAAGTAACTTTGAAGCATCTCCTGTTAATGTGGATGAGATATCAAAAACAGAAGAAAGAAAAACTGTAATGTGAAACGATACGTGCCAAAGCCGAAAGAGACGACGAGGAAGCAGCGCAACCAGAAGTAAAGGTGGCAGTGAAGTTGGGGGTTAAAACTAAGTTTCTGGGCCTGGAGCACACAGCCACAGGCATCTGAGCTGTGCAGTTCCAGAACGCTAGAGAGAGGAGGATTAAGGAGAAAAACCTGTGGATGCCACTAAAATATTCCACACAGATGAGGGGCGCTGAATGCCAGGGTGGAGATGGGGACAAATCAGTAGCATTGGGCAAATACTCTTTGTATCTCTGTTGTATAAAAAGCCATGTCTAGCAAGAAGGTTGTAGGAACCCTCTAAGTTTTCTAAGTGAGCACTTGTTAGTTAAAAAATCAGTCTGTGATTTTAGAGCAAGAACTGATGGAGAAAGTACTCCAATCGCTTCAGAAATGTCTTGTTTTCATTCATTTATCAACTGAGGGAACAGTTCCCCTTGTGTGACGCACCTACAGGATTCAAGGGGAAGAGTGACTCCTCAGAACTAGGCACAGGTCTCCCCTGCAGTCTCATCCTGGAAGGAGTCCAGCATGAATGAGATGATCAAGGTTGTGCAGATTTCAATGAAAATGCACTTTTATATCTGTATGGCAAGTGAGACAACATATTTACATTTTTCTACCAGAAATCTATTGTGCTGTTTATTATTTTAAGTGCCAGCACAGACGAACTCACAGCTTCTGCATCTTTGACAAACAGATTTAAAATAAAAATTTGCTGACACTTCCTGCATCACAGATGTTTAACTTCTGCGCCACAAATTAGATGTGGGCATTTTACATGGCTGCATCAAATCAGAAGGCAAGTCAGATGTGTTAATGGGTTTAAAAAAAAAAAAAAAGGTAAGCAAACACAGAGCCCAACTAGGTAAACACACCACGTGAGGTGGCCGGAGACTCTGCAGAAGGACGCAAAATGTACTACAGTTCATTAATATTCTGCTGCACAGATAAAGCAGGGATCACCTCTAATGAGTGTGACAAATAACCCTTCTCCTGCACTCTTATCCATTGTACTGTCTTCTGGTATCCAAGCCAAACAGAGGCCCTTCTTTAGAACAAGGCAGCATGGGGATAAACAAACAGTAAGAGAGAAGAAAAAAAAAAAAAAAAAAAAGACACACCACGGCCTGCTGATACATTCTTTCACAATGAGCTGTTAAGATGTTTCCAGCACTGAGGTTTAGTAACTTTAAATATGCAGCAGCGCTTTTCCTCTGACTGCAATGCAAAATGCTGGGTCGGGGCTTCCACATAGGCTGAAATCAAATGCCATACATTTAAGACAGGTTCCTTCCAGCTCACACTGCAGTGCTCTGAGGCTGTCAGTACAAACAAATGCTAAAGAGCTATTGGTCGCAGGAAAGCGAGTGCCATGCAGAAAGCATTAAAATATTAAAGAGAGACAATACTTACTCCAAGGTCAGCCCCGGAATCTGTAGCCTTTCCCGCTGGGCTTTCATGGTTGTTATATGTTACCACACTCTCTTGTAACCATGACACGCATTCCCTGCCAGCGTCCCGGCGATGACAGAGAGCCGAAATGAACCTCTAGAAAGGGCTGGTCTAACCTTCTCTCGAGGGGGAGGGGGATCCTGCAAGTTTCGGTCCTTCCACCTCCAGCGGTAATCAAGAGATGTCAGCCGCTTTCCTCAGGTTAACGACAGTGCACACTGCACTGATTTCGTTAAGGGAATGAGGCTTTTGGCTCTGCATATCAAGTAATTGGTTTCTGATTTTTTTTTTTTTTCAAAGAAAGTCGCTCCTCTCACAGACCCAGTTTTCACCTCAGTGAAATGAAAAGTCCTCTTCACCATGCAGACTGGAAAAAATAATAACAAAGCAACAGCATCATACTTATAAAAGAGTTTATTTCAGCAAACCTCAACTATTCCCTGCCTCCTGGGGATGCTCTTGAATAGAATTTGGCCACCCGCAGGAAGTTCTGCTTATTCTTCCCCTGGTGGAGTTAACAAAATCAGTCATGTTCCACAAGAAAGACACGGGGAACGGTTGCCCAATGAAAATAATTAGATTTTTTTCTATATATGGCAATCATCAGAAAGAGGAATAAACTAACTGCCTTAATTTGGGGGAAGTTGAACTCTGCTGTGAGGCAAAGACTTGTGCGAACAGGCAAACCCTACAACTGGGAAAATACCAACTGGAGACACAAGAGATGGGAGCCTGGATTTTCATTTTGGAAAACTGATTTTTAAGAACAGTGCAGTGCTAAGTACGTTAACAAGAGCAATCAAATACGAATAAGGAAAGAAACAGAGAACATATATTCTGGAAACCTGGAAGTTTCATCCTGTATTTATTCAAGGAGCAGAATTTTTCACAGTATTCATAACTTGGGACTAAGTGTACCTCCATTGCTGTGCATGAAGAACATCTCACTCACATTCTCTAATGCAAATTTTAAAATGTTTTACAAACTGGCAACCATTGGTTTGTTGAGAAGAAATACTAGGACAAATCAGGATTTTACTTTAGCAAGTCTGGGTATTTTACTTTAGCAAGTCATGGCTGTTTCACCACTATGGTAAAAACAACTGTGCTCAAGGGGTTACATTTTAAAGGCCATGAAGTCAAGCTCCCTCTTTTAACAGATGAGGAAGCTGAGGGCTCACAGCTGGTGGTGGAACTGGGATGAGATTCGGGTGTGTTGATTCCTGTCCCAGGGGCCTTCAGAGTAGGGGTGTCTTGTGCAGCTGTTCAGGTTGTGCCCTACACAAGGGTGCTGGGCAGGAAGGGAAGTCAAGGCTGAAATCCAGCCTGCTTCTCACTTTGCCACGCTCAGGCTCTGGGCTGCTTCCCACCTCTTTTTTCCCCCTCACTTTTACAATGTTACACTTGGCTATGCACCATCTAGAGGATCATCTGTTTACAAGCCTACTAAGGTGCACGTGGACTAGAGAAAAGTCCACATGATCTTCCCCGAACCTTTCTCTACATCCTAATCTGCCAACTTGCTCTGGGGGCATTTGTTAATGTTACTTCTCCTCTGTGAGCTCACAGAACTAACCAACCCTCCGCCCTGTTAGAGGCAACATATCCACACAGAGAATACTCACTGGTTGTACTGCAAGGAGGCACATCAAAGTGTAAACTAATAACCATAAGTACATAAAAGCATAAAACAACAAGAAATAATGAAAATACAATGGAATACAAAAGAGGAAGGATCAACTGTGCTCCCCATTCTATCCTCAGGATACTTTTTTGCAATGTAAAATATCCAGAATCTCACCATTTTTCCACCCCAAACACCTTGATTCCAGATATACTGTGTCCAGGTTGGATGCACAAGACAAGTGCTCAGGGCAGGTGCACTGGGAAGACCCAGAGGGATGGGATGCGGAGAGAGGTGGGAGGGGGGTTCAGGATGGGGAACACATGTAAATCCATGGCTGATTCATGTCAATGTATGGCAAAACCCACTACAATATTGTAAAGTAATTAGCCTCCAACTAATAAAAATAAATGGGGGAAAAAAAGATATACTGTGTCCTGACTAGGTCATTGTCATTTCCTTCTAACTGAATTCTCTACTTTCTCCCTGCCACCCTCCTACACTTCACTGGCCACACAGACTCTAAGATGCTCATTTTCAGAATGCATCATTCCTCTGCTCAAAATTCTTCACTAGTTTCCTTCTTATTCCAAGTAAAAGCCCCAAACCTAGCAAACTTGGCCAAAGAATGGGACAGCTGAGCATCAGGAGGAGTGACAATAGCAATATGTTAAAATGTATCCAAAGTTTGAAACTATGAGTTCAAGGAGACAGGAGAGGAAGGAAAAAAGGAAGGAGGCCAGCCAGCCAGGGTCATCTTTGGAAGATGTTAGAACATATCCCATTGCTTTTAAAAACTGGTAAAGGGGAAAAATCAAGCACTTATCCTGCTTTCCTTAAGAATAGAACCTCACAGATGCAAAATTTCTACATAGACATGTTCCAAGTGGTAAATACAGAATGAATGGCAACATGAGATTACTGCCATTTTTCAACCCCCAACAAATCAACAGATCTAGGTCATAATCAATGATAACTGCTGACATCACTAAGAGATAGCTGGATACTACGTGCTGCTTGATATAACACATCTGAAGTCTTCTCATCAAACAAAGCCACATCACTCCTGGATACAACCAAGCCTCTACATCAAAATGCCATTTTACAGGAAACATAGTGACAAAGGAACATAATAATACCACAGAAATATGATCAGCATAAGCTACACTGTGAAAGCCAGAACAAATGATCTGATCCCTTAAACATTTTCAAAGCAATAGTAGAAAGAAAAAAAAAAATGGAAAAAGAATCTCAACCTTAAAAAAGACTTGAGACATATTGACTAATTGCAACATATAAACACTTTCGGGTCCTAATATCAAACATATAATCAAACATTTAGAAAATAATTACTGTAATAGACTCCCCTCCCACAAATATGTATACACATAGTGGGCATTTGTTAATACTAGTAAGTTGTCTTTAAATATAATATTGGAATCAATCATTTTTCATTTCTCACCTTCTAGAGATATACCCCCAAATATTCACAGATAAAATGTCTAGGCTTTGCTTCAGGTTAACCTAGAGAGAGAGTAAAATATATGAGAGAAAAGTAGGAACTTCCCTGGTGGTCTAATGGTTGAGGACCTGCCTTCCAACACAGAGGATGTGGGTTCAATTCCTGGTCAAGAAACTAAGATACTACATGCTATGGGGCAACTAGCCCCGCATGCTACAACCAAGAACTGACACAGCCAAATAAATAAAGAAAAAAGTGTTTTTAAAAAAAGAAGAAAAGAAAAAAAGAAAAGTGACCCTGAATAAATATTTGATAGGCCTGGGTGATAGGTAGATAGGGGGTTCATTATACTGTTCCGTTTAGCACACACCTGAAATTTTCTGCAACAAAAATTGAAGAAGAGTTTGTACGAGGACTGCAAAGATCCATGTGACATGTACAGGCCCATCTCCCTGGCCTCCTCTAATACCACTCCCATGCTCATTCCTGGCTGCTCTTCACATGCACCAGGAACACTCCTACCCCAGAACCTTTGCACTATTTCCACTGCCTGATCTCTTTCCTCTGAGATGTCCAGATATCTTGCCTATTTGAAACAAGAAGTCTTCCCCACACCTCGTGCTTCCTCATCAACCTGATGTCTTTTTCTCCTCTGCACTTATCATCATTTGATGTTATTGGTACTTATTGACTGACTGACTGTCTTCCCCTATGCAGGGAGGCGCCAAGAAGGTAAGTAGGTTGTGCATATCTCCAGTGCCAAGAACAGCTCACACAGGTTTCCAATACCTATCTCCTGAAGGCTGAATAAATGTCCCTCCCTATATAGCTACAACCGCCAACCAAAGAGACTCGGCCTCTTCTTTCTCATAAATATAGATTTCTACAACATTAATTGTTGGAACCTACATGTCAGAATGAAGACCTCAGAGAGTTGTCTTCAAGAGACTAGAGAACTGGGACATGTTCATTTATCACATGAAGACCCAGAAAAGCCCCTACTGGCCGGAAGGCACACATCAAAGACCAGCTCACACGCGGGTGTGGAGAAAACCAAGGTCACACGAGACTAGTGTGCTGCGTTTTGACGGGAGGTGCGTAGGTGGGGAAACACTGGTTTAAACTACTTTGGGATCACTAAGAAGACATGCACAGAGGCTGGAGTTAAGCACCCTCCTCTTCTGATGAGACAAGATCACTGTGCAGTCACATTAATGGTGGCAATATGGATTTGAACAAACCCAGTGGCATGGCTTAAGTCAGGGTTCTTCTATGTATTCTCTAGAGTAATAGTTCTCAACCAGGTCCAGCAAAGTCTGGAGACATTTTTGGTTGTCATACCTGGGCAGAGATCAGGGATGTTGCTGAGCACCCCACAATGCACTAGACAGCCCCCACAACAAAGAACTACCCACCCCAAATCAACAATGCTACTCTAGGAACCCAGCTGTAAAATCAAGTGTCAGTTTTTGCAGGACCCTCAGCATCATTAACCAGTTTCAAATATTTTGCTTCTGATTTCATTGTACTAAGCTTGGGGGTGTGGGGGGAAGACAGCAGTCTTATTGTTTCATTTCTCAGTCAATATTTCCTCTCTCAGCAATAATACTAACCTAAGTGTATGTAATTCTCCCATCCTGCTTACCGGAGCAGTAACCAAAATCTGCAAACAAGACAACCCAAAATATAGGCAAATGAGCTCCATGGGGGCACCGGGGCCATGAGCGAAGGGGCGCACACGCACCCAGCCAGGCACATTGACCTGAGGCACACAGGCAGACAGGATTTACATAGGAGGGTTTGACTTCTTAGACGAAATTCAAGGTGCAGATCTCCCCAATCCAATATTTTCTCATTTTTTGTCTCTCTAGACTCAAGGCTTCCACAAGAAAGATACAAAACCCCAAGGCAAGAGTGAAAATCAGCATCACTCTCCCTGAATGTTCAATTATTTATATATTCTTAAAAGGTGGGCATGGTTGAGGGAAATGTTCCAAAAAGGGGTGTGTGTGTGTATGTGTGTGTGTCTGATCTCTTCTTTTGCAACCCATAATCCAATAATAGTTAGACCACACTATTAACATTTTCACCCTCTCATTAGCTGGTATCATTTATAATCACTTTACTGTGTACCTGAAACATTGTAAATCAACTACATTTCAATAAAAAATAAAAATTAAAAACCTTAAAAATTTTTTTCAGCAGTCCTTGTTCTAGGTATGAGAGATGTAGGAGTGGATGAGACAGAAAGATCCGTCTATGGAGTCCATTTAAGTTGGGGAAACTGAAAAAGGATATAACTAAGATCATTTCTGATAAGGACGGGTACTGTGTAGGGGTCCTCAGGTGACACGATGATCGGGGACTCAGGGAGCAGACACTGCTTTCATACTGGGACCAGGAAGACTCAGAGATGTACAAGCTTCATTCGCAGGATGACAAGGAACGAGCTCTTGAGTCAGGAAAAGAGTACCACAGGCAGAGAGAATAGCGATCGCAAAGTCTCTGAAGCTGGGACAGGCTGGCTCATTTAATAGCCTTAAAGAGGGCCATGTGCCTGATTATAGTAACACCATAAACATTCATTGAGCATTTATATAAAACATAGCACTGTGTGGGATGTAAGGATGAATCATATACAAGCTTGATTCTTAAGGATTTTATCATTTAGCAAAACAGGATGAAGGATAGAATATAAATTAAAGGAGGAATCAGTTTTATGTTGTATACACCATGAAGATGAAGAACTGGCTTTTAATT